CTCGCGTCTGGGCTGCAGGTTGGCTCACTGGTGTGTGGTTCACGCTCCATTCCAAACACAGACCTCTCAGAACCATGTGCGAGAGCTTAACTAATCTGCTCTCTTTACTAAAGCATGCATAATATGCCTAAGTATTGCTAATTCAGCAGTGAAAAATAAATTACACTTTTAAGCCAAACAATTAACACTCAACTTTAAATGCTGCTTGCTAGAGCAAGGGGGAGCGAGTGCAGGCTGCTCCCAGCCGCACAGTCCTGCCGAACTCGTCGGCTGGAATTAGATTCATATTTCCCCATAAATCTCTAAGCTACTTTATAAATTAATTCTTCTAAGATCGACGTAAATTAAAGCACAATGGTTTGTGGGCTTCCCAGCTCCGAAGCGGTTCGGTGAGCACCCTGTGAGCACCGAGGCACCAAGCAAAATAGGTCACCCTGGACAGAGGTTCCCTGCAGGGTGGCAGGCGGCTCCAAGGTGATGAGGGCTGGGGACCCCCACCTAACACCCAGGGGCTAGAGGCCGTATCCCTGCCTCGGTTCCCCATGAGACCTTCTGTGGTGTGTCTCTGCCCAGCTCCCCATCCTCCTGCCGGGCACCTCCCTGGGTGCTCCCCAGGCTGGTCTAGCCACTCTCCGCCCCGCCCACCTCTCCCAGCTGGGTCCTTCCTTCACCGCCCGCAGCGCCCTCAGGCTCCACTGTGAACGCCTATGAGGTTCCCTCCCTCCCCAACCTGACCCCGCCCGGCGCAGCACCCAGCCCAACGTTTCTGAGAAACGAGAGCACCTGGCCCAGTGCTAACCATAATCTGAAACTGTTCACACGTATTTCTCACCACCGTGGCTCTGAGCCTGTAGGTCTTGAGATCAGCCACCCCGCAGGTGGGAGCAGCAGGGACGGAGATGGTGCCACACCTGCTCTGAGTGGCCGGCCCTGTCTGCAGTCCCCGGCTGTGGTGTGTAGCGTCAGGTTTGGGGGTCCGCAGGCGGCTCTCCATGGGGACCCTCGTGTGCAAACACAACACAGAGCTCTCCAAATCCTGAAGCGGCCTTACAAATACATCGACACCGTCTCCTTGTCAGGAAACACCCATGCGCAGACACACACGTATTCACTTCGGGCAGAACCCTACGACGGCCAACAGTCCACCCAGCAGCAGCCACTGCTAAAAAGCGACGTGCTGTGTGGCCCCACCATGACACATGGTCCTAGTACCTCCGCATCCTCACCTCCGGTGGGGAGATCTGCACCGAGGCCCACGGAGCAGCCCTTGGGTGCCCCCAGCCTGCACAGCCTTGCAGGGGCTTGGGTGCCCGCCCTGCAGCCCCCTGCCGCCCTCTCTGCGATGCCCCAGCCCCACCACCCCATCTGGTCCCTCAGACCCCTGGGCACAGCACAAATTAAAAACGAGCTCCAGAAACGACCCGAGTCACATCCGGAATGCCACGCTTCCTAGGCACATGTGCTGCAGAGGAGCCTGTCTCGAAATACGACTGGGTTTTGTGAGGAGTGGTCCTTCGTGTTGGGGTGGGGGGTCGGTCTTCCACCTGGAGCCTGGGAAAGAGCACAAGCAGATCTGCAACGGGGGCAGGGCAGGCTGGGGGGACGCTGTGGCCGGCAGGGGGGAACCCCAAGGACCGGCACTGCAGACACCTGTCAGAGACCACCTCACGTGGTATTAACACAGGTTGAAACAACACAGGTCCCGGGTGCCAGAGGTCCTGGCGTCAAACACTCAGACTCAGTCACCAAGCTGCCCGTGTGGACAGAGCTGCGCCCACGCCGGACCATGTTGCCCCATTCACCACGCCCAGCGCGCATGCCCAAAACGCAGGTTATCTTTCTTTTCAAATTTCAGGTTTCAGACTTCCTTTCCAAGGTTGATTATATCCAATTCGATGTAGATTACTTATAGTTCGACACAGGTACATTTTCCCTGACGACATCCGAGCAACATGCCATCGCGGGTGGCTGACGCAGGTGCATGAGGCGGTTCCACGGTCGCTGGCTGTTCTTTCTCCCTTCCAGGTGCTGTGGGGGGATGCCGAGTGTCCGGGCGGGAGGTGATTCCGGTGAAGGAGGAAGAGGGGCCTCGCTGCCCACTGGGCTCCTGCAGTCGCCAAGGGGTGGCAAAGCTCCTCTCAGAGCACCCTCCTGGTCATCGAGCTATTCATAGCTCCAGGGAACTCCATCTGGAGTTCCGGCCGCCTGGTCCATTACCACCTAGACCCTGTTCCTAGTGGACACCCTTCAAGGAAGGGAGCACAGCCTCGTTATTGTAAAGACGTGGAAGAGGACGCCGGGAGGAACCCACATGGACCAGCCATCTCCCTGAGGCACAGTGGGGTGGTAGCCTGGTCCCTCACCCGGTCTGCTCTTGGCAGGTGTGCACCAGAGACCATCTGCTATTGGATTTTACGTACAGGTTTGTTCTTATTGTTCCACTGGCAGCAGTGTGATAATGTCCTGAAATGAGCAATGCCAGGTGTTGAGCTAGCCCAGCAGAGATATTGACCACGTGCCGAGCAAGGCTGGGTGTCTGCTGCCATCTCCAGAGTGAGCATCCAGCCTTTGGAGAGTCCCGGTTCTCCTCATAGTTCGAAACAGAGAGAGGAGTCGATCCTAACCGCTGGATCCTATTTTCAGTTGCAAGAATACAGAAGTACAGAACTGCAGAATCTAGTTTTTACTTTAAATGCAATATGCATGGAAGCCAACATAGGTATTAATGTGAACGTTTTAATGATCTTACTAAAAACACAGGCTTAGACGTATCATTTTTTTAAAAAAAGAAAAGTAAATTAGGTAGTAAAAGATAAGTAGAAGCCTAAATCATTGATTGGTCACATATCTTCCTTGCTGAAGGCTTTAACTCCTGTTGAAGTGATGCCAGGGAATAAATACGTTACATCTGCCCCCTGTTTATTTTTCCTTTGCCTCTTTGCCCTGAAAGAAATGCACCAGCAGTCACCAGGAAACATAAACAACAAATCTCTGCAAATACTCAATCCATTCATCTTTGGTGGGAGCACATCCGTGTGCTTCCCCGCACGCCACCAAGCTGAAGAGCCAGGCACACTTTTTACTAGATCCTTGGGCCTGCTAAAGCGTCTTATGACTCTTTCACAGAACCAGGACTTAAATCAGAGCTCTCAGAGGCCAGTGCTATAAAACGCTGCTCTGTACTGCCAGAGAAACAAAATACCTGCAAAAGGAGCTAAAAATAATAACACTGAAAATAACGAAATGATTCTGAGCAACAAATATTAATCTCAATAATAGTGTTTACTCTGTTGGACACTGTATTGCATCTTTTCCATGCATGTTTATCTAATGTTTACAAAAGACCTGTTATTCAAATTTTAAACGTGAAGAAAAATGAATATTGGAAGACTAAGTAACCATACCAAGGTATTGGGGCTTGTAAATGGATTTAAATCCAGTTGTGCCTGAATCAAGGGCCCTATTCTTGGCTAATATCTTACACCTGGGGAGAGTCCGCCTTCCATCCCAATTACTTCCCCGTAGCATTTAGAGTCGATGTGGATTTGAATACCAGCTACACGGTAGCTCTTTCTTCTGACAGTCTTCCCCAGCCGTGACACAGAGATGACAACGTCTGTCTCCATGAGGATCAAGAAGATTAGAAGGTACACTTAACATATAAGAGGGCACGTGTAAACACGAGGTACAAGGTGTGGCACCCCTGGCGTGTGATGGACACCTCACCTCTTTCTGTTTTATTCTGAGTAAAAGAAGTTACAGTGACAGTGTCCTCTCCACACACCACAGGGTCCCCTGTCTTGTGCTGGTTCCAAATGACGTCTCGGTGGCTGTTTTTGCAAAGAGACTTGCCTAACCCTTTCCAGAAACTGAATGTTCTCTGGCCGAGTTTCACTAATTTGGTTCCCAGTTAAATATATCAAAAGAGCAGAAATCCTAATCTGTTGGAACATTTATTCCTCTTCCTACTCTCAGATAAATAGATTAGTATCGTTAGGATTAAGTTTGCAAAGATGTGCCCAATGGGTATGCCCGGGATGGTTGTGCTTCGTGTTTCTTGGTGTGTGAGAGAGGCAGAGAGACAGAGAATAGGCTACCTATTTTTTTTTTTTAAAGGAGGCTCTAGACTAGAACAATCAGATTTCCAACTTGTAAACACCTCTTTTATTCTTCTTGTTTAAAAGGCTATGTCCTTTCATTCATATCATTTATCCTTTCCTGATAAATGCAAACATTTATTTTATTTTATTTTTTATTTCAGCATATTATGGGGGTACACATTTCAAGGCTGCCTATAAGGCCCTTGCCCCCCCCGCCCCAACAAAGATCTATTTTTATCTTCCCATTGTTTCTGGCGTTTTATCTATTTCTTTATTTTTGTTCTACCTTTAGCTGAAAGAGTAAATGAGAGACTTCCAAACCTCATCCCTGGTGGGAGGGGTGCCGTGGTCACGGCCATATAGGGAGCAACTGACTTTGGCCGCTCACAGAATGAGACCTCAAGTTTCTTGGACTGCCCCTGATCTTATGATCATAATGATTGTGAAAATAAATGATAACCTGCCATCTGAGGAGGACCCTGATCCCGGGAAAGTGGTCATTACACAGTCCCCCAGCACATCTCCCTGGCTCTGAGGCCACCCCTCACCCTCCGTCCATTCCTCCTCGCGGATCTGGGTCCCGCCCAGACGCCCGTCTCATTCCCCAGCTGCCCCAGCTGCAGAGGACAGGTGAGGCCCTCTGAGCCTTCCTGTTTCCCAGTATGCAGTGGGCTTCTTGCCCTGCCCGCCCAGTCCCGGTCCTCAGCCCTCCCAGCTCCCCCTGCACGGAGCTCACCTGCCCAGTGCCCTTCTAAACAGGCTCACCTGCCCAGTGCCCACCTGCCCAGCAGCCACCAGACCAGCTCCTCCCTGCACAGGCCCACCCAGCCTGCTGCCCCCAGCTGGGCCTAACCCTAACCCCAACCCTCCCTGCGGTAGTTCTCACCCCTGCCCATCCCGGCCACGGCCCGCTCACTCCTCCTCGGTGTTGTAACACCAAAGGCTCGTCCTGCATCAGACTGAGGCATCATTAAGGTCGTGGCCCATGTGCTTTTAATTATTGTCACTTTCCCAGAATACAGTTTCATGATATTTCCAATGGAAGGAAAGATTCAATTCTCTGCCACACTTGTCCCTTTGAGAAAGTGGTTTTGCATACGTTCTTGAAATTCAACACACATGCACACACTCTTCGTATCATTAACAGATTTGGAAATATGGGTAACATGACAGGAACATATTTTTTAAAAGAATAAAAAAAAGTTCTCCTATAACATAGTGTCTATGTGTTTGTGAAATAAACTACAAAATGAAAATCCAAGATCAATTCAAATCTCCTGAGATTATAGTAAACAAATATGCATACACTTGTGTGTGTTTTTCCGCATGTAATTATACATGACATAAAGGACAAGGATACGGAAATTCAATATTTAGAAGGAAGGCAACACTTGAGATGTCCAATTTCCAAATAACAATCTTTTCTTACAATTAAGAAAAA